GCTTACCCTAACTTCCCAATCTTCGGCAATGCCGCATTACTGCTTGACGAGCTTAATGTGTAATCAGACAATGCCTACCTGTTTCCTGGCTATTCGATATAATAAAAAAAGCAATCCACTGGCATGGAAATCGACGCAATTATTGGCAAAGTTGAGCTATAAACTTGACAGTTTAAATGATTTTAAACTTTTGAGATCACTGTCATTTTATAATAGCGGAGAGCGCGTGTGATGTCACAAATAATCCCTGACCACACAAACAAATTGAAATTTTCCTCGAATGTTTTACAACCTACATTTTTTTTGGTCAAATCGCTGTCAATCGAGGCGCTCAACTCACAATGTTTGTCTGAGTCATGGAGATACTTTTAGACATGGCGCGCAGCGGTATTGGCAAACACTACAAATGCAGAATCGGGTATATTCTTGATACTATTTTAGACAAGGCAAATAACACTCAAAAGAAGTTGATATTGAGGACATTGAGTCAAAGTTTCTAGAAATCAAATGCAACTATTTCTCTCGAATTTTCACATAAGGACTTAGTTTTTAGTAACATCTCATGATTTTTTGTTCTTTATAAAAGAAAAGTTCCTCAAATTTTGCGATAAAACTTATCGCAAATTACATTGCTACACCTTGGGACTCGAGCTGCTTACGCCGTAGCGAATTTCGATACCGAAACAATGAGTCATGAAGATCTTTTCGTTCATGTATGACAAGGATCCTTTGAGAGACTTCAAGCATGAATTGGCTTGTTCTGCTGTCCCGCTGAGGATAACGGGAGAGGTTGTAAGCCTCAGAGCAACCTGGAAAAGAAAAAAAAAACATGTCCGACTGCTTTGCATTAGTACTGACAAAGTTAAGATTGAGACTTTATGTCGAATGTACTTCAGTAAAAGTGTGTAATGTGCCATTAGGTTAGTAGGAGGGGATAAACCCGAGAGCATAGCTAAATGAACACCGAAGATTAAAGATGGCCAAACCGAAAGCCAGTTTTGGGGGTGATTTACGTACCTGTATGATCCCGCCAATGCAATCGATCCACAAGGAACTAAGAGTTCTTGAAAAAGACAGGATCTCGATTTAAACAATACGGATGCAAATTGCGAGCGTTGTCGTAGACAATGAGGCGGGGACTTATCAAAAAAAAAAAAAAAAAAAAGAAGGCAGAAAAATTGTAATGAACCTTTATTATGACTCGTCTAATATAAAATTACTTTGATAGAGGAAATCAAGAGAAGAAAAACTCCCCAAAAACCAGGCCGTTCGTTCAACAGGTGGATAACGTTATCCACAGAATGAATCACTATTCACCTTTAAGAGTTGTGATAACATACAAGGCTATCCACTGGATTGTGATTTTTCCGGTGGATAGCGTTATTCATCCTTTAAACCGGGCTCAAGTAATATAAAGAAATTGTCTTCAGGCACAACGGCATCCAGTCAAAGGCCACAACATACACATGTACATTAAATTGAGCTTACCTTGTGAGAAACGCATTCCAAACACTGTAAATGGGATGTTAGGAGATACGTTGCAAAGCATTACACTATATCCATCAGCTATACCTAAAATGGAAATCAAAAGAGAGGATATAAAACAGTTTTACACATAATCACAGCAACACTGCGTACATTGAGTACCTGAAAGCATGTTGTGAAAGAACATGTAGTGAAGGCCGAAGGGAGAGTGTAACTAGGGTACATCTCTAGTCAATAGAAATCAACAACTTTTATTAATACAAGTCGTTATGCCATTTAGCCAATAAACTGTAAAAAAAATTACGATTTAGTCAGTAAACAGTAAAAAACAAAACAAACCAAAACAAAACGGGTAAGTCAGTTAATTTGTGCGATTCTTTTTCTTGACAGCTGGAGATGTTATCCATTTGCAAACTAAGCGTTACAAACAGTTTTGGTCTTTCAAGAAAATGACATTTGTTGAGAAAAACCTAAACCTGATAACTAAAACCAAAGGCAGAGTGTAAAAACCGGAGCTTGTCAGGATAATCTGGATTAAACAAAGGGTAGCAATAGCTATTTGGGGGTCAGAGTGAACTGAAATTTACATTTTTTATGTCAGAAGTAATGTTGCTCGTCGTCGAAATTAATAAAAATATTAATACAAACTCATAACATTATTGTACCGTGTTTACGGCGCACTAAGAAAACTCCAGGAAATAAGGATAGGTGTCGAATACTCCTCTTTGGAGTTGTGTCATCCAAGTAATTGTCACCACGACTTCTTACCACAGGCAGGCAAGGATAGTATTCTACATCATTTGTGTGGTGTACATCCAGTTACACAGCATCTGGTATTGATCCATTTCTGCTGAATGGAGACTTTGCTTTTTCCAACAGGTCAATAATAAATGCAGTCAAGGCCTCAGGAAGCTGATCTCCCTTCACAATGCTAACTATGTCAAACAGGAGTGGAGAAGTTTTCTGGAGTAGAAGCATGTCTTCATGACGCTGCTTGACTGGTTCATTACCAATTAGTCCGAGGTAAAATGTTTCCAAGGAGGGAAAGAAGTGCACACACCAGGGAAGCTTTTCCTAATGCAATGAAAAGTCCAGCAATAGGTGTTGAAAAAGAGACATCAGATCCATAGAACGAAATGCTCCAGGAAAGAAAACTACCTAAGGCAGGTGCACAACGCTGCAACTCCAGATGTAAAGAGGTCATTATTGAGTCTGTAACCTTGCTAACATCACGGCCTACTTGATCCACCATCAGCCTGACATGTTTTTCAGCAAGGTTAACCCAGTCACGATGGTTAGTGATGTCATAAAATATTAAATAATTAGCCAAAATGCAGATCTCTTCAAATAAGGCAAATAAAAACAGGTGATATTCAGACACATTAAAAGTCTATCGCAGTGGAATGTAAGAGGAACAGGAGCTGGTCTTAGTCTGGTCTCAACACCTCAACTGATCCAGAAAAAGAAGACCTCATTCCAAGGTCAATGAGACACACAAGCTTCACCACCACGACAAGGTGCCAGCCCAGGGTGAAGGATTAAAAATATTAAAAATCATTATATTAATCAGTAATCAAACTGAATCAAGTCATAGTCCTCACATCGACAGCTAGATCAATATATTATATCATGCTAACACTCTAAAATAGAACTCCTTGAATCACACTGGGAACCAAAATAATAGGAAAAATGATGTATAGATAATTATAAAAAAAATCATAAGCATAAATAGCAACTTATCTTCCTGTTTCTCATGGTTCAGTGGATGGACTCAGTGATGAATAACAGACTTCAGAAAAGTATGAAGCTCTCTTCTGAAGGATAGTGCTATAGCATCATAGATGACAGCATCCAGACTGTTATCTTTGCCACAGATGGCACAACAAAAACCTTCTTCATAGTTTACGTCAAGAAGGTCCAGAAAACTGTACCAAGCAAAACACCAGCAGTGGTACGATAGCAACCTCTTGAGGTCCAATACATCTGCATCAGCCATGATCTCTTGTCAGACACTGTAGTATGTAAACAGAGTACATCTACAAAAAGAAAACTTCATTTAAATATAGCTTTTTGAAAGACAATTGAATGACATACGTGTACAATTTTATATCATTCCTAATACAATGATCTTCAGTTGATGTCACAAGCAAAACTTTGGAGATACGACAAATCAGAACCTTCAGCTAATAATTTTTTTTTTTTTTCTGGTCCCTGATTTTCATTGCAAACCATCATGTGTAGACAAATGAGGTTGTTTAGTATAATTGAACTGTACATTATAATCGCTGTTATAAGTGCATCTGCTGGGTGTGTTCCAGAAACATTTAAATTTATTGAACTAAGTATATTACTTGATATAAAGATGTCACAATAATGTTAATTTTCAAATTCATTGTAAACTTTTGGGTGGTATGTGATTCCTTGAAAAAATTTCAACATAATGTCATTTTCATAATGCTATTCTCAACACAACATCAAAGTAATGTGCAATAAGTGTGAAGGCCTGTAAGACTTCAACTTTTAAACAGCAACAGAGAATTCATTTATGACACAGAATAGGTCACATGTACCTCCAATTAAGAAAATGAAACATGAAAAGACCTGATAAGAAACAATGTGGGAACCCATGTTTAACAAAGTGAGCTCTGAGCCATCAAACTCCACTTTTCCATCACAGATTTCCTCAACACGCTCTAGTTTTAGAATTTAAAACATAAGATTACGAATGAAAAATCAGTAATAATCATGCAACAAAGAGAAGAACGTTTTTGACTACTGGTTGCCATCCATGGCTGAAAAATATCTGTGTACACAAAAACCTTGTGTTGGTTTTTAGCAGTCCACCTGTATTCACCTTGAGCTGAGGCAAAATAATAACAACAATTTATTTGGCTCACTGTCAGCTGAGGGTTTTCCTCCCAATGGATGCCTCACACCAGGCTGTCAACAGCTATCATACAATCAACTGGTTTGAAATCTGAATGAAATTTCCACACTACCTAGCTGGACAACCTTCCCTGTACGGTTTTCATTTTTCAGCCATTTCTATCCCATTCATGATGCTGAACACTACTTGAACACTTAAAGAGATAAGGAATTGATGCAAGGAATTTCTTGCCTTCACATTGCCATGTCTAATTTTTTAAAAAGCACAAAGCTTGTGTAGTCTGATGAATGTACTGTGATGAACACCTTGGGCAGGAGGGAGACAAGTTGGGAGTAAACAGCACCAAATCAGTAGCTGAAATTTTGTCACAAAGAACATCTTCCAGAGAGAAGAATACCCTTTTTTTGCATTGTTGATAGATGGAATGGTATTTTTTACAGGATACTGATCTTATTTTCCACTCTTTACGAGTGGTGGCTGCTGCAACTGATTCAATAGACTCTTGAAAATTTCTCTCAGCAAAAAAAATTGACCAGAAAATCAGGCATTTTGTGTTCCATTGTTTCCTCAGATTCTGCTAATTTTGTTACATGCTCACAGTTGTGAAAAAGCAAGTGATAAGTGTACCCTAGAGGCCAACCACTCTTTGCTGTTTATTTCCACATACAAAAATGGTAAAATTATTCCCAGTCAAAGGCAACAAGTCATGATGTTCTTCCTGAGATTGAAAAACAGCAAGAACAAAAAGTAAGTAGACTATGGAAATGCTACAATCATTTCAGATAGTCTTTACTGAAAATAACAGATACAAATGGAAAAATACGATGTTTACAGCTACTTACAGCAAATAATGCACTCCAAGAAAATAATAAGCTAAGATTCATATTAAATAGCTGTACTCTGAAGGGGGCCTAGCTGTTTAAATACACAAATTATGCTCTAACATTATTTAACTTGCACCAAAATCATTAGGATGAGTGAAAATAACCAAAAAAATTCATTCATCTTACTTGGTAAGTGTGATCGTGAGAATATGCGTCTCCAGCAAGTGAAGGGGTGACATTGTTTTCCTTGTCAAAGCTTTCGATCAACTTTTCAGTGGCTTCAATATGGATGCAATTCACATAAACAGAACTAGCTGCAGTTAAACCTGTGAGAAACGTTTAATAAACAATATTTATTATTAGATATAATTTATTATTCAATTAAATACTGAAAAGAAAAGAAGAAAATTATGGCACAGGGGCATGGAGACAGTCAAAGATGCAGGGGCCAGATTCAAAACAAAATAGCTAAATGAAGACAGCTTGTAATCCTGTTACTAGTAAAATTTGGTGCCTTTCATTTCACAACTCAGGTTGTTAGAATTCAATAGAAAAAACATTTGACTAATACAAGAGGGTGCTTATTGGAGGCTGGAGAAATAATTGGCAACAATAAAAAAGAGAAGCTGTAAGAAAGAGGATGGGAACTGCAGTTGCCACCTAATGTATAAACAGAAATGAATGGTCCCTAATGAATGTGCAAATGAGATACAGTTATTGTCTACATTAAAACTATGACTTGGATGAACAATTTTATTGGAACATTTTTATAAATTATTTATATCAGATTACATGCTTGTACTTACTATCTCCTGTGACAGTTGATGACAGTGACTGCAAATAATCTGTTAGCCTTGTGCCTTCAACACATTTGCAATGATAGATCCAAATGTTATCCCTGGGTTCTCTTTCAGGAATCACATATTTGGCTTCCTGATGGTAGAGGATAAAAAATATGTAAGGTAAACAATTGATTTTTTTTGGCATAGGCACATGTACCACATTACATCTAGTTATGAGTAATCTACAAAGCTACTGTGCCAACCAATAAAAAAACAGATATTTTTGATGCATCCCAAGTGTACAAACCACAAACAATTTCTGCTGAGCAGAATGTCTAACCCTCTTGTACGTATACAAGATGTACTAGAAACTACAGTACAGAGAACCCAAAATACCGATAAATATTAAACATTAGTTATAAAATATTAAACAAAATCAAAAATAATTATAAATACCAAAGGTGTGCAATTAGGATATTTTATATTTCATGTATACAGTGATGTATTAATACTACACTGGTTTGAGTCTTGCTTAGTTGGAAAGGTCTACTTACTCGTAGTACATAAATTGTGGTCATTTCTTTTCGTGCTACGGTACTAGCAGTACAAAATCAACACTAGTGGTACAAAAATAACTCATAAACAATGATCAGTTTGCTGGCCAAGATTTGACAATATTAATAATAAGTGCTTCTACCTAGGCAGGGCGTGAAATTGCGCCTAATACAGGCGCCAATGCGACTAAATTTTTCACTTTGGCGACCAAATCCTGAGAAATGGAATGTTTCATTACAATCTTACCAAGAGATACAGTGAATTAAAAAGATCTACAAAGATAAATCCGCGGCAAACTTCCTCGTTAGGGCTTGCTTCCAAAACGCAACACATGCCTCTCGATCGACGCCATCTTGGATCTAGGTGTGCTTGAACGTTGTATATCATCCATCCTAGTGTCCACTTTGTAGCACGTTAAAGATCTTTTCACTTGAAAACATAAAAACATAGGCGTGCTCTGCATGGAAGAGTTATTTTTTTGCGGGTGGGTGGATTAATTGAAACATTTTAGGTGATGTCTAAAGACAAAAGAAAAGAAGAACATTAACGCGGAAAAGAACGAAAATGTTGAATTAACCCACACACAGGTAATTTGTGGTAGATTGTGTGTTGTGCGAATAACTATAACCAAAAAAAACTGTATTGGGGGCATGGATACCTGTTAGGTACAAAATGCAGACTGCAGATCGAGACTGGATACAAAATGTAGACTAGGTACAAAATGTAGACTGCAGACTGCAGAGTGGGTACAAAATGTAGACTGAGAATCCGTAAAGAGTTTTTTCGTTTGGTATGTGATAACATGTCATCTTACAACTTATCAAGCGTTACGCAATCGCTTTTCCGCGATCAGCTTTCACGATTATTTGCACTATTGTGGAATGTTCCTGGCCCATTTCTTGATGAAAATCGATCATAATATAATTTCAAGCCTTCATATAGTCTTCTCACTTTGTGCGCAAGTTGGTTGGTGTTGTCTGTACAGATTTTACCAATGCAATAAAAGTAGATGTAGATTTAGATGTAAATGAGATGTCACTATTGAATATTTAACAAGTGCAACATTTGAGAAACTATTGACAGCTTTTCACGTTGTTACTTCATGTATATATTTTTTGCTTGTTAATCAGCACTATTTTAATATTTCTGAATGTTTAGACATTTTAGAAATGTTCATTTACCAGGCATCCTTCCAAATAAAACAAAGTCCATCCTCTTAAGTGGCAGTAATTGCCTAACCACACTTGTACCAGACACAGCAACTGGAGGATTTGGTCTGGTATGGACAGTCTTCCACCTGTAATACAAAAAAAACCAACATATTGTTATTTCACTGCTGATCATATGGAAAGGCTTATGTAACCAAAAAAGAGTAATTCATGGCAAATTGCAGGAAAGTAATAGTGGTTTGACTTTGAGTTTGGGAAAATTGGTTTTAATTATGAAAGTAATTAAATATAGAAAATTGGATGTTGTTTTTATCTTATTATAGCCACTTACCACTCCTGAACTGTATATGCTGGAACATGTTGTTGTACATAATGTTCAAAGTCAGTCCTAATCTGTTCAGGGCAGTCATTTATTCTCTCTCTCAAGTTTCAGTATGACCAAGACAGCAGCATAAAGATTGTGTCAGGCTTGTGAAGGCCACCATCTCGTGTTGAATGCTGGAAGCAAAGAGAAAGATTTTGTCAAGAATATGATAGTAAGAAACTAGACCTTACACTTGTCAGTATACTAGTAGTCATTTGTAAATGTTGGTATAACATACCTGATAATAAAAACAATTATGCATGTGACTTGACTTGAATGGGGTGCTGCAGAGATGTTTTGGGACAACATCCACAAATTTCATCATGTAGGGAGTTAGTTCTTTGTAGCCATAACAGAAGATCATCAAAGCATGGAACCTATTAGCATGGTAAACATATCTGGAAATTTCAGAGCTGTGTAATCCAAACTCATAGTCTTCAACATTTGTTGAATTACTTGGATACCCCGGCTTTAGTTGAGCTGTATCTTTCCTCAGTATCCTATACATCTGATAGAAATGCCACCAAATAAACTTCACACAGTCAATGTCATTAATCTTTTGTGATGTCATTCCAAGGGCCTCAGCAAGCTTTGGGGACAACATCTGCTGTAGTTCACAACTTGGAAGAACCTATGAATATAATACAGGAGCTTCAGTTCTGAGAGATATAATTGGAAAACTATTTTAAGTAATCACTAAGGGTATACATGTACAGCATGTGTTTTGTAGTAATTATGTTACTTGTTATAACTAAGTAACTTAACTGGTCAGGTTTGATGATTTAAGTAAACACCAGAACTTACATTATCCAAGATGTGATTGTAATTTTTGTCTTTGAAGTCCTTTGAGAGAGCTAGGGTGGTGTAGGCTTGGGACTTGTTGAGGCTGAGGTCACCTAGGTGACCTTTTGGATCAATTGGAAGTTCAAAATGAGCTCCTCTGACATCTCTTGCATTTATGTTAGCAGTAAGATGTGCCAATGCAGCATTCCTTCGCTCTCTACCATACCTATAGAAAAAGGTGACAATAATAATTTTCAATATTTAAAAGCAGGGACATGTGAGACAACACAGCATATACAAATGAACATGATCTACACTCGATCGAAAATTTTTTTAAGGTTTTAATCATGAACGCAAATCATGAACGCAGACCGCCCAAACAGCATATGTTAACTAATACACCAACCTTGACTCCAGATCAAGACATGTCTGGACAACCTTCATTATTAGATTTTCTGCAACTCTGGTGAAGCCATAGTCAATACACATAAGGATATGATCACCAGTAAGAGCAGGAAGCAGGGACTTGGGGAGAGGACAGTTAAATGAAAGGTTGAGGTCTGTTCTCAGTCCTGTGAATGGATGAATGGATGAATGGATGAACGGATCTACTTTTCCCTTTTCTGATGCTGAGCATGGCATCCATAGGTTCCACTTGTCTTGGGAGAGTGGGCTGAGCTCTGGATCAGCAATGGCATCCAAGAACTTAGAGTCTGCACTAAGGAACACCTGGTGGCCCAGGTTCTGACTGTCTTTAATCCATTCATTTAAGTATCCTACAACATTAATGGACAAATGATCTATAATAACACTAATTATCCTTATAGATGTTGCAATTCCTCTTGTACCATTTCAGAGAGTTTTCAAGCACCACAAAAAGTTACAAAACTGAAATCAATTTTGTTGAACCATGTTATTTTTCTTGAATTATTCAAATGATCAGCTTATGAGTATTTCATTTCAATTTTAGGAAAATTTAAAGGTGATTTGGTCAATTTATCAAAAGTTAATATTGGATTATAAAAGTTTAACATGTAAGTGTGCATATACCTGGTCCACCATGACCAATTTTCAAAATGCATGTAAAATCCTCGTTGGAAAAGAGGAGGTATTAATTATATAAGCTTCAGCCTAAAGAAAGTAACGAAGAATAAAAAAATTAATACTGTCATTGTGTGTGATTCATCACAACTCATGAACAAAACAGTTTCCTAAATATCTGTGAAAGAAAAACAGTCTGTCGAATGAGAAATATATTTGTTGCTACAGACATCAGTTTTCCTAGACTTTTTTTCAACATGCCATCTTCCCATGACACAAAATAAAATTCCGTGACCTCTTTCCTGATCTTTTCCGGCTTTATCCTGGTGTACCGGTTAACCAAAATATATCCTGGTGTGCCGGTTGATGAAACTTGCGTGACATTGGTCAATCGAATAATAGCGTGACAGCTAGATAATTTGATAAATAATTAATGCTTTGATAATAAAATGCAATAAAATGCCGGCATTGGTTCATTGTTGGGTTATTTGGGTTATTTGAGTCGTTTGGATCTTTTGGATCAGCTGGGTCATTCGGGCCAGTTGGGTCACTTGGGCCAGTTGGGCCAGTTGGGCCAGTTGGGCCAGTTGGGTCACTTGGGCCACTTGGGCCAGTTGGGTCATCAGTTATCTATAAACCAGGTGAATTTTTAATCGCCGATTTCCCGCCACAATTGCTAAAATACAAACGCTGACCTAGGCGCCTGTTAGTTCATTCTAGCTTTTCCCGCCATCAAAGAAGGTGCTCAAAAGTTACGTAGTTAGTTTTTCGATATTCGACATATCATGGACACTCAGAGTAATGTCACATCTACCGCGGAACTGGAATCTCAGCTGGGCCAAATTATTCTTTCTATTGAAGAAGTTGTACCCCAACGCCTTCGTCAATGGCTGACGGCGTTCGCTTGTAGCAATGGCACAACGAGCGAGATGCTACTTTGTTCAGCTCTGGTGTCTACGAGCTCTTTGCTCGGTCAGACAACACTGAAGCTTTTTGGTTCCTACGAGGAGAATGCAAACCTTCATCTGATCGCTACTGCCCCTTCTGGAACGGGGGAAACACCAGCGTGCCAGAAAGGATGCGTGGAGCCAATCGTGGGCCATGTCGAGGAGAAAATACAGACCAGCATTGTGATTGATGAAACATCATCAAGCGGCCTATTCAACCATTTCCTGGGAGGTTAGTTTTTATTTGACATCGACAGGAGCTCCTAGCATTGATTATTATCCTTGGAGTGTAGTAAGCTTCAGCTAATATTATAAGACTTAATGAATCACTGAAGGAAAAAATTCCTGATAAATAATTTAATGAATTTGAGAAATTTTCTTTAACCCCTTTAACCTCAAGTATTCAACCATTTCCTGGGAGGACTAGCATTTAATTTCTCCTCACAATGTCATTCCTGAATCAAATGAAGATCATGAGAAAAAATGAAATGATCACTAAGTAAAGAAGCTCTTGACTGTTAAAAAATTGTCCCTGTCAACACCATATGAAATGTATTAAGAACACTGTGGAGAATATTCCTATCAATGCTAGGGTGTAAAGGATTAAATGATTCTCTAGAAGGACTACTGATCTTGTGCCCTCCATTCTTGGGGCTAAGCTGAGGGGCTCCCATGTGAAACAGACAGGGTTGCTTACTGAAAATATTGAGTTAAACCCCTAAAGGAGACCAATGTGGACTTGACTCAGATGTAAATAAGTAAAAGGCAATATTTTTTTTCCATTTCTTTACGTGTCCCCCATAGGGTCTTTAATATGTTGGCATTTTTCCTGGAAACACCCAAAGCAAGCTCAAACATCTGAAATTTACACTCCAAAGCAAGACAATGAACACCCCAGTCTGTTTTGTATGGGGGTCCCCCTGGGCCCTTTACTCTGCAATTAAGGGTAAGTGGGTAGAAATTATGGGTAGTATTAGAAATAATTTCAGCTCTAATTTACAATCAGTTGTCCAGGAAAACAGAATATAACCAATTCAGTACATTTTATTGCAGCATCCACAGTGCCAATCCTTTGTGTGGATGAGGCATACTCTCTCCTACAAAGACTAACATATCAGGGAAAATCAACATCACAGACAAGCCTCTCAATGGAACGCCTGTGTAAATGTTACGATGGAGATTTTTGGTACGTACTAAAAGGGACAAAAGGCAAGCGAGTTGGAGTAACTTCAGCTAAACTAGCCCTCCTTGCTTTCACCACCCCTCAGCAGTTCCTGGAGTCAGTTTGGCCAAAAATTGTAGCCTCAAAAAATGGGCTGGCAGAGAGGTTGCTGTTTTTTTATCAAAGAAGATCAGAAGATCTTGACCTGGAAGCCATGGCAGAAAACTCTGACTCCCTGGACGAGTTTTCTGTTAAATCTCTTGGCGATGTATTTGAAAAGATATATGTGGAACATAACACAACCCCAGCACTGAAGTACACACCGACTGCCACTGCTAAGGAAGTTTTCTTTAAGTTTAGCAAGCCTAATGAAGATGACAGCCAGGGTGCAGTTGCCAGTCCAAGTATTTCCTCAGGTTCAAAGAAATATAAAAACACTTTACGTGTTGCTTTAAATATGCATGTCCTTTATCACCGGCTAACCAAAGCACTTGCCTTGGAGTCAGGGACAACACCCACAACAATCACAGCAGAAACCATGCAAATGGCAATAACTTTCATGGATACTCTTGAGACCATGAAGGGAATCTCAGAGCTGGTGAGTTTAATATAACAATAATGATAATAATAATTATTATAATTGTCATTATTATAATAATCTATTATGGTGACCCACCTGGAAAGGAAATGACCATATCCTGGACAATGGGGGCATTTCTTTGTTCTAACACCATCACATTTACTCTACATCTGTAGATTTTAAATTACTCCTGATGAGCAATGCAAGACTTACATGACATTCCCAACCAAAAGATCACATGATTAATTAAATTAATTAAGTTTAATTTTTTATTCCAAACTGATTGGAAAAAGAACAAAACAATTCAAACTACAAGATACATGGTTTGCATTATGCACTCAATATTTAGTGGACTGCTAATAACATAAAAACTTTATGGTTTATTTTAATTTGAGCCAAATGGGTTTGTTTTATAGTCTTGCCATCTGCAGAAGTCCTCAGTAGGACTCAAAGTGGGAGTGTTGGGTGAAGACATCCAAAAAAGAATTCTGTCTCTCCCTGGTCCTTTTGTGTGTGTAAGGAGAGTAGTGCGGAGCTATTCTTCTACTAGAAGACCCTAATTAATACTGTACTTCTTGTCTCTTTGATATATTTTTGTTGTGTCTTGACTACAACATATGTACATAACATTAATAGCAAATTGCATACATATTTTATTTTTTATATAATTAGGTGTGTTGAAATCAATCACAAATTGAAACAAAATTTTATGCACAGAAAGATGGTATATAAAAATCAATGTAGTTCGCATTCCTTTTAAATTTATTAAATTAGTATATTTTGATGTGATATTTCAAAAAATGAATGCTCAAAGAAAATAATTACATAACTGAATTAACTAAATTCCTTGGATAGTAAAGAAGGAACATGTGGTAAATCATTATATTTTTGTTGTCTCCTGACTGCATTAGATGTACATAACATAGCAAATTGGATACATAATTAATTTTTTTACATAGGTTTATTAAAAATTTTTCTTAATCACAAATTGAGACAAAAGTAATATTGTGGAGTAAGATAGTTTATAAAATTTATTTTGTTCATGATTCTTTCATATTGTATTAGTATATTTCGATGTCATATTTCAAAAACTGAACACCCAAAGATAATAATTACATTACTGAATTAATAATAAAAGTTCCCGTTCATTTCAATCATGTGCACTTTGTTATATCTACTGAAACAACTGCCCAGATTATGTTGGGGGTGATGGTGGGTGGTGGGGGAAGATGTTGAAGTTTCCATTTGACTGGCTTGTAGAACCCTATTCCTAATGGTTACTAATACTGATTCCCTGCCAATTAGTTTTAAAAAAGCTCAATTTGGCTAACATTAGGTGGTACTTACAGTATCCAAAAGAGTATGTTTAATCAGAACCAGTTCAGTTCAACCTGCTTTTTGTAAAGCGCTTCAAAGCCTTTAGCCACTTTCTTGATGCTTTGGAGTTTCCCATCTATTTGTTTGGCTTTCTTTGGTTGCAAGGGACTTCCAAGATTTTTTGAAATGTCATGAAGTTTGGAGTAGTATTCATACACTCTTGAAGGTTCAATGCTTAGACCCTTCAAAGATGCAAAGTTCACAAGACAGTCTAATGTAAGACTTTCAATCTCAGACCATCCAGATACTGGAGTTAAACCTTGACTTGTCAGATAATCAAGACTGGAGATGCTCTCTTTGGCCTCTTGTAGTTTTTGCTCGGGTTGGTACCTTGAAGTTGTTACAAGTGTGTATGCCTGCTTGGCAGCCTGGGAGCTGCCATAAGGATTTCCACAACCAACACATTTACATCGATGGGAGCAACCAGCTATTTTAGAGTAGCATTTACACTGGCTCTTGTTACCATTTGGTACTTGACAGCAGAATTTTCTTCCATCCTTCTTGGCAGAACCACGACCGCATGAGCAGTGCTCAGGCACCTGTTCCTTTGGAGAATTATTGCTACATGTACTTGTGGAACTAACATGGGGTGGGATAGCTTCATTCACGTTCTCCAAAGATACCACATTGTGATATAATTCTGGTTGACCAATACTGTATCCCAGAAAAATTGCCTTGGTAGCTGTGCAAGGCAACAATGGGGAAACTGGTACTACAGGCATGTGGTCCAGTGATGTAAAGATGACTATGTTCAGTCTCAGAATCTGGGATAGTGCAATTCCTATGACATTCCCAACTCATCTGAAAGAATGAGAATCTCAGAGAGGCTTTTTGGTGTGCTTAACTATGCAAAATCAATCCTTATGGATTAAACAAAAGGTGCAAGTTTAAATTCCAGAAATAGAATACTCTATAATTAACACCACTTTACTGCTATTTGTTTTTTTTTTTTTTTTTTTTACAACAGGTATTTTACTCTTATGTAGCAA